AGCAGTTAAGAGCACTGACTGCTCTTGTAGAGGACCTGGGTTCAGTTCTCAATTCCCAGTACTTACATGGCAGTTACCAACAATTTCCCCCTCCAGTTCCAGGGGATCCAATGCCCTCTTCTGACCTCGAAGGGCATTGCAGGACACAGGTGCATATACACACATGCAGGAAAGACACTCATACACATAAAATAAATATTTTTTTGAAAATTAAATTACTTTATTTATTTATTTATTTTACACCCACTTCCCAGATAGCACCCTTCCATAGCCTCCCTCCCACCATGAGAGCCCTTATACTCTGATATCCCTGCTACTGTCTGCTGTATTGTCGGCACCCCCAGCCATTCCCCACTACTTGCCCTTCTGGTGAATCTAGTCAGCCTATCTAGAGGTCTTTGTTTTAGGAAGGTCAGCTGTTCCTCATCTAGCAGCAATCAGTTGTCAATATTCCTTTGGATAAGATTGGGGTCTGCTATTCATTTTCCCAGTTCTATGCTGGTTACTATCTTAGAATCCCTTTGGTCAACCTGGCCGATAACTCAAAAGAAAGTATCACCTGTCTGGCATTGTTGTTTGTTATGTAGCCTTTAGCTATGCATATGGACTCTAATGAAATTATATTGGCCCCTTTAATCTTTGGTTATACTTTCCTTTTGGGCGTTTAAGGCCATACAGTTGGATCAGATAATTTTACTCTTAAGGTCATTTGAGGATCTGTTCCTCAGGGGTCACATGGGCTTGGGAGGAGCCCCTTGGCTCCATTCTTTTCTTTTACAAGTTCCTCGTATATGAAGATAAGTCAAAGGTCCTGCTCGACTAAGGTTGGCTTCGCTTGTAAGCATGGAGGAAATGATTCCTCTGTATTGACCCTCCTCTTTGTAGACTGGACCCAGTAATTAAAAATACCAGACTGGTGGAACTGACCTTCTTGGGTTTAACAGACATACTTTGAGGCCTATAATAATTTGGTCAGAGGGAAATAAAGGACAGTTTTTGCTCCTTGCCCTCATAGGTCAACTAGTTCCAGGGGACTATGAGCATCTCTCAAAATGTCCTATAATGGTGGTGGGTCACCTGTGCTCTTGATCAAGGAGGCTGAGGAGACCCTATCAGATGGACTTGAACCAGTGTCCAGTCTAAAATACATATTTTTCAAAACTAGAAAGACAAAGAAAAACAAATATTTATGCATAAACAAAATCACAAAATATCCTTCAATTTATAAACACAGTGAAACTACAGTGCACAGCACATGTAAACAACCCTTAGGATCACAAAGATGAGCGAGAGAATAGTTTCAGGACAAGACAGAACGGCTCTGGGAGTTGTGGCATGAAGGAGCCCCTGGGAGGTGCTGACATCCCAGCTTCTGACCTGAACGTGAAGTACAGGTGCCCACTTATTAACCTCTGTGTCCACTATTTGTTCATTTACATACATGCTCCCGACATTTGCCTGTTATTTCTCACATGTAGGTTCACATCTCTTTGCATTGTGTGTGTTATGTCTGCACCACCCAACTGATGCGGAGAAGACAACGGTGCAGGAAGGAGCTGAGGGACCCGTGGGTGAGGACACAACCTTCAAACAGCGTGAGCGTGCTGTTGCTTTACTGTGGCTATGGCAAAACGCCTGACAAGGAACTTAAGGGAACAAGAGTTTACTTTGACTCAGAGTTTAGAATAGGATACAGCCATCATGGAAGGGAAGACTCGGCAGAATGGGTGCGATGCAGCCGGTGGGTCACATGGTGTCCACCATCAGGAAACAGAGAGGAATGTCTTCTTCTCTCCTTTGACTCAGTCCCAGGCCTACTGACAGGACAGTGTTGCCCACACTCAGGGTGGGTCTTCCCTGCTCAGTGAACCCTCTCTGAAAACTGTCTCCTAAGAGACTCCAAATCTAGTCATGTTAACACAGAAGATGAACCCTCATAAGGGGTGGGGGGCTAAAGGAAACAGGATGGACCCTCTAAGAACAGGCAGAGGCTGTTGCATCCCAGTATGAGGACTTTAAAGGCAGATGGGCTCCGGAGACCCAAAGGGGACACCTGCTTAGTAGGAGCAGGGTCCAGTCCTGCCTGGGGCTAGGGCAGTGCAGCCACTACCTGTAAGCCCCTCTGGGCCAGCCACTGCTCAGGGCCTGGAAGAGCCATGGGCAGAGGAGGAACCGAAGCAGAAAAGAGCACGGGAGGGAAAAAAGGAGCTGCATGGGAGGAGAGAGAGAACACCGTGCTGTTTGAAGAACTGGCTCCTGGGGTTTGAGTGCAGCAAGTCTCAAATCTACACAGCACGTGATTTCCCAAGCTCTTTCTCATTTTAGTGTTGTTTTGTAGCCCAGGCTGACCTGGAACTCCTAATCCTGAGTGTTCCACTCTCTCCCTAGAATGAACTGCTTCTTTGGGAAATCTTGGTCTATGTCCTTAGACAAAGGCAATTGACTGGGTGAGGGCCACACACACATTTTTGTTAAAAGTGAACTGATGGTAAATGTGAATCACACCCTCAGACACCTTCACAGCAACAGCTAGACGAGTGTTCAACAAAAGTATAACGCCACAGCCTAGCCAAGCTGACACATAGAATTCACCATCCCAGTGGGACACAAGTGCCCGGAGAGACACCCTGGGCTGACATGCGGCAGGTAGGCAAGGGCAGAGGCTCCGGTGGGAAGGAGAGGCCCCGTATCACTGTCCCACTGCAGCATGTATAGAATAAGGCTCAGCCAAAGTAAACAAGCTGCCCGAGGCCTCCCGAGAAGGGCTAACCAGGCTGGGCTGCGCCGTGGGGAGCGCTGCCCCTTGCTGTCTGTGTACCCTGTCTTTTTTCTTCCCCTTCTAAGACCAAGCAGCCACAAGGTTGAGTCTAACTTTTCAGATTTGGTCCGTAGACTGCTGCCTGCTTTTCACCCAGGAACATCAAGCTGTTCTTGGAAATCATTTGTTTCCCTAGACTGTTCAGCAGACCTATTATCAGGAATATGATCTCTAAATAATGCAAACTCCTGCATGAGTAATGGCCTCTTTTCTCTCTTCCAGCCACCCTGGGCTTCAACATAAGGAAGTCTCTCACTCTCCTCACAAAACCCAGGGCCCAGGGCCTGCTCTAAGAGCATCCCTTCAGGTTATGGACCCGCCTTGGATCACTTGGTAAGGAACAGTCCCCATAAGCCAAAGCCCCCAAGGGAAACAGACCTCTTCTGAAGCCAGGTGTGATAATACACATCTTTGCCAGGACTCAGGATGCTGAGGCAGGAGGATTGCAAGTTGAATGCCAGTCTGAGCTACACAAGGAGACTTTATCCACCTGTAATAACTGGGCTCTCACCAACATTCTGTGAGAGAGAGTCCCTTGCTTTGAAAAGCTGAATCACACCCACTTGAGGTGTCAGGCTTAGCCAAGCATGTTTGAGCTACTGAGTGTCAGGGGTGGATTTTACATCAGGAATCAAAAGTAGCATCTGGGGAAATCAAGAATCCCAACAGATGAGTCCCTGGAATTGAGGGAGAGGGTGGTGATGTGTGACAGTGGATTGGAGGTGGGAATCTGAATGAGGTGTCCACTCTGAGGGGGTTTCCTGGGAACTGCAAAGGAGAGTGTGGACCAGGAGGTGGGGCTGGACTTGGATAACCTCAGCAGAGGAAGGAATGAGAGCTCTGATGTCAGCAAATCTGACTGGAATCCTAGCTCTGACCAGGAGCATGTATGCTTGATTTCTCTGGGCCTTTTTTCATTGATTCTAGAATGGGGATAAGTCTCCTCTCATGTGGGCTGGGGATGTAGCTCACTGTTAGAGCACTTGCCCAGCATTCATAAGGCCCAGGGTTCAATCCCTCATTGTTAAAAAAAAAAAAGAAATCCCCTCTCATACGGTGGTTGTGGTGGCGAGATGAGATAGCTCACATCTAGTTGCTACAGGGATGTGGTTCCGGGAAAGTCTGGCACTGGCCAATGAATGCAAAGGACTGACCATTTCTTAAACACAGGTTCCTTCAACCGCTTCCCTCTGACTGTTCCATCCTCAGTAGGGCTGCTGGTGGGACTGAGCTGGGAGAGGGTACCTATTGCTTGGAGCCTTGGTAACTCAGCAACCTCCAGATCTCAGCTGCATTTTAGTCTGAAGAGGCCGCCGCTCTGAAAACAGCCTGGCATCCACCCAACCAACATCTCAGCTCCCCAGTCCGCTTTCAGCCCAGGGGCCATTAAGGCTGGCTGGAGCCTCTGCACGAATGGAGGACGCTCTCAGCACACTCAGCGCCTGTCCTCCAGGAGCACAGGCAAAGCTGGCGTCAAAAGCATCGTCCTCCAGTCCTCCCAGGCTGCAGCTGCGGCTGCCTAGTGGATGGGTGGTGTTGGACAAACCTGGCTTCTCGCCCTCTCCCCGACCTCTGTCCTTTCCTGCTCTCTCACTGCCTTGGGTATCTTTTCTGTGCTGCCCCGACGCGCGCACGCTCACATAGGAACATGCACCTGTCTTCATCCCCTCCCCTCTCTGACCCTCTTCTCCATCCTCTGCTGACTTGTCCCTTCACCACCTTAGTATTTTCCTTTTGTCTTTTTCTTGTTTTTGTGCATTTCCCCATCTTTAAAATTCTTTGAAAAACACCTCTTTTCATGGATATGAAAAGTCACCCTAAAGGTGTTTCTCAATTTTCTGGACATTTCTCTGTTGGACAGTCATGTCGTTTCCAATCTTTTCAGTGTGGCAATGTTGTAACTACTATAAAGGAGAATGTGTAGACCCTGGAGAGATTTCATATGAAGCCAGTGATCACAGAGCATGAACTCTGGAATTTTCGCTCCACTGACTAGGTATGACAGGGGCGCAACTGACCCTTTCCCTCCTCCGGTTCCCTCCCTCACTGGAGAAGTTAATAGTGATGCATATCACAGGATTTTTGCAAGTGCTACAATTGTATCTGGCCTTTGGTAAGTCTTCCAAAGAGATGAACTGTTGCTTATAGTACTACTTGAGCAGGGAGATTAAAAACCGATATTGTGAGCAAGTCAGAAAACAGTATTCTTATAGAGGACTGCGGAAGTTCCCAGATTATCCCAAAAGTTTATATTTGCGTTGGCAGAGTCCAGACAAGGAATATAGATGTTCGATTTTTAGAGAGGGGGAGAAGAGGAGGTTCAAGAGATGTGGGAAGGGCATCGTTTGGACAAGAGCTTTGCTGCAGTGGGGCACTAAGGGAAGAGGCTTCAATCCCACCTGAGTGAGGTGTTCATTCTTAAAGGTTTACAGGGGATGGGGCATGGTCCTTGTACTGTGGGATGCAGGAGGACCAGGGGGGAGGACGAGAACCAGATGGGGGATGAGGACCACCACCAGAGGGGGAAGGGGGACCAGAGAAAGAAGGACCAGAGGGAGGAGGACCAGAGGGAGGAGGACCAGAGGCACTCACTCAGGTTTTGAATCCCTTGGGCCTGGAGGGCCAAGGTGAGGCAGGAATGTAGCTGCCTTGAGGATTTAGGTTCAGAGACTAGGATGAAGTCTGCATTTTAGCTGAGATAGGAGGCATAGTGTAGGTGCAGGAAGTGACCTGCCGGGATCAGAATGTAATTTGTGGGCCCTGTGGTAATGACTTTCAGAACATGGACATATTCTGCTCAAATGACTTTCACCTAACCTTGCCACAAAAACTTCACCTTATCTCAGGTAGACCAGCACACTGAGCCTTGAGCTCCTCCAGTGACCTACACACAGCTTTATTTCCCCACAACCCTTCCTGCCCTGGATGGAATAGTGCAGGCAGAGTGTGTGTTAGAAGTGCTGCAGGCGGTGGTGACTACTGGCAGTCGGGAGGCTTATCTCACTGGCGCCACCAGCAGTAGATGGAAGTGGTTGTTACGGTTGTTTGCAGTTGAATGTGTGGTGCTCCAGCAGGGGTCAGAAGGGAAATAAACCGATAAGGCAAATCCTTCCCACATCTACCTTCCCTTTCATGCTGAATATTCTGTTTCAATAAAGGAGTGAGCCCTTGGTTGAAAACACAGAATTCTGAAGGAACAGATTCTCAGCAGTTCAGCTCTTGGCCTTAAACTGGATGCCAAGAGTCAGGCTGTCTTTTTATTCAGGCATAACTGTACTGTAGTTTCATGTAGTAAATGCCACAGGGCCCCTTATTATGAAGAATTTCAAAGAGCTGGAGAGATGGCTCAGTGGTTAAGAGCACTTGCTGTTGCAGACGACCCAGGTTCTGTTCCCAGCACACAGCCACATGTAACTCCAGTTCCAGGGGAATCCAATGCTGTCTTCTGGCCTTCATAGTCACTGCACGTACATGATGTACATACATATGCAGGCACCCACACATACATATAAAACAAATCTTTTAATATTTTATTTACTATTTTTATTTTATGGGTATGACTGTATTACCTGCATGCATGTAGGTGCACCTATGTCGTGCAGTGCCTTGGAGGTCAGAAGAGGGCGTCAGATTCCCCCGGAACTGGAGTTACAGACGGTTGCTAGTTGCCATGCGGGTGTTGGTAATCAAACCCAGGTCCTCTGCAAGAGCAGCCAGTGCTCTAAGCTGCTGAACCATCTCTCCAGGTCAAAAACAAATCTTTTAAACTGTTTAAAAATAATTTCAGGATGGCAGCTGTGTGTGGGGCCTCTTGAGTATGACAGACCCTACAGCCATGCAGTCAGCTCTGGACCGATTAGTCCAATCAAGACTTCCCCACTCCAAGAGTCCTGGCATTCCTGTCAAGGCCTCTCCCCGCCTCTGTGCCCCAGGGACACCAGGCTCCATGCCTGGGGCTACCTCACATGCTCTTCTGACAAGCCTCTGGCCTTCTTAACTGCTCTGCCCCCTGGTGGGTCTGGGAGCTGCCAGGGTGCCCCAGGGGCTCTCCTTTCTCCCTTTCTCCAAGTGGGTCTTATGGAAGACTGTACCTGCCTCCCTTGTGCCCAAGTCCCACTGAGGCAGAGCTATGTTGCTGTGAACAACATCGACCTGCTTTTCCCTCAGTCCTGCCTCCCCTTTTGGAGAGCCTCTGTTGGTTGGTCATTCATATCACAGACTGTTAACAGAGTGCACAGCCTGGAGCTCTAAGAACATTCCTAAAGCTGGGTGTGGCAGCACATGCCTCTAATCCCAGTACTCAGGAGGCAGAGACCGGCAGATCTCTGTGAGTTTGAGGCCAGCCTGGTCTATATAGCAAGCTTGAGGCCAGCTAGGGCTGCATTGTGAGCCCATGTCTCAAAAACAAACAAAAAGAGTTTTTTCTTTATCGTCCAAAACAGGAAATAGCTGGTCCATCCCTGAGGGTTGATGCCTGCCCACACTGATTCTTTGACATACATTGGTCGGTGTGAGTGTGGTGGGCCATGGGCTGTTTACAATACTGGATGCTCAGACCCCAGGTGGTCTTTGGAAGGGTGCAAGAAGCTCTTTCTCGAACTGGAGCACAAGCAAGAACTCACATCCTTCCTTAAAGAATATGCTTCTGCAATCAGGTCTCAAATCAAGAAACAGGTGTCAAAACAGTGAAGACGGTCTAGCACAGGGCAGTGCTCCACTCACCGGTCACGTCTTTCCACTTGTGGTCCCCGGGTTGGAGGTAAGTTGTGGGATATTTGCCATCTTGCTTTGTGATTCTGTACCTAAAGAGGTAGGGAGTATTTATACAAAGCTAGCAAGTGTTGGGTGCTGCTGTGTGAACTTTTCCCGGGGAGAGTCCTAGTCACTTCCTATTGCTGTGATAAAAACACTGACCAAAACCAGCTTGGGGAGGAAAGGGTTCATCTCACCTTCAGCTCACAGTTCATCACGGAGGAGAAACAGGGCAGGAGCCCAGGGCAGGAACTGAAGTACAGACCATGGAGGCACGCTGCTTACTGGCTTCACTGGCCTGTGCTCAGACTGCTTTCTTATACAACACAGGACCACCTGCCTAGGCGTGGCACCGTCCACAGGGGCTGGGCCCTCCTACATCACTCAAAAATCAAGAAAATGCCCCACAGGCCAGTCCAACGGAGGAAATTCCTCCACTGAGGCTCCTTCTACCCAGGTGTGTCAAGTTGACAACTGACTATCCAGCCCAGGAAGCATGAACAAACATTTATGCACCTCACACAGGATGCCAATGACAGACTGTTAGTCTGATTTCTGTTGCTAATAAACACCATGGCCAAAAGCAGCTCGAGGGAGGAAGGGGTTCATTTCTGCTCACAGCTCACAGCCCAACATCAAGGGAAGCAGGGCAGGAGCTCAGGTAAGAAACTGAGGCAGAGGCCGTGGAGGACGCAGACTGGCTCGCTTCCCCCCAGGCCTGCTCATCTACCTTTCTTACAGAGCCCAAGTCCACCTGTCCAGGGGTGGCACCGCCCACAGTGGGCTGGGCCCTCCTGCATCAATTAGCAATCAAGAACATTCTCCACAGACATGCCCGCAGGCAAGTTCATTGGAGGAGACGCCTCAATTCCCAGGTGTGTCTAGGTTGGTGTTGATTCGACAAACACTGTCACACAAAGTGACAATTCCATGAAGGTCTAACTTGGCAAAACAATTCGTTTGTTGCGCTCTCTTAGAGCACTGGGGTGATACCCTGAAAAGTCTCACCCCCGCATGGACGGTGACATCCCATAGCTGTACGAGGGAGGGAGGGAGTTCCACAGTTCACCTCCCACATTCCACATACTCCAGCGTGGAGACCCGGAGACTGTGTGCAGGTGAGAGAATTACAGACAGCTGACAGGAGGTACAGCGGGAATCGCTTCACCTGAGGGTAGTCACAGCCACTCTGACTTGTCTCAAAAAGACAAAAAAAAAAAAAAAAAAAAAAAGTGGGCATCATGACACTAGCATTTTCCTCACAAAGTCTGACTAAATGATGCCTTGTCACAGGTCAGGGTCTTGGGGCAGCACTGGCTCTCCACTGTCAATAGTCAACTTAACAGCAGCCTGGTGAAGTTATAGGATAACACTCAACTCAAAGACGGAAAAGCCAAAGTTTACAGAGATGGAGCATTTTGTTCAATTCACAAAGCTAATCATGCCAGAGCTGGTTTCTAATTCAGGACAACTTCAAAAACAGCCCAGTGCAGACACTCGGCCTACTGAGTGCAACCTAAGGCTCCTTCCGGCTACTCAGGGAAGGAGGGCTGGAGTCTATTAGCCACCGCTTCTGGCTACAGAGACCAAAAACAGCCTCTGTAGTTCAGGCACTTTGGGCTGTCAGAGCTCAAAGAAGGAAAATAATATACCTTATAGTTCTTAATAGAGCTGGCCTCTGTGTGGTCCCAGGGTGACTTGGGCACCACAAAACAGGTCAGTCACCTTACAGGCTCTTCCAGCCCAATATAACACCACAGAATGCCAGATCAAAAAACAATCTTACTAGAAGTTCATATGGGTCTTCCGCATTGTAGCACTGAGCACAGTCCCCTCCTAGTCCAGCCTGTCACTGTAACACATCCCATAAAAACAAGTATATTTTCTAGAACAACAAAAGAAGCATTTGCAGATTCCAAACATGGTGATGTTTTACAAAACATCCAGATACATAGTCTCACAAATTCAAATGCTTGTAGAAACAACGGAAGAGCATATTTAAAAATCAGGACCGGGGCTGGAGAGATGGCTCAGTGCTTAAGAACACAACTGCTCTTCCAGAGGACCAGAGTTCAATTTCCCCGCCATCACTTCAGGCAGCTCACGACCTCCTGTAACTCCAACTCCTAGGGGATCCAAGCCTCTGGCTTCCAAGGGCTCCTGCACTCACATGCACATGCCCACACAAACACAAAAATACACATAATCTTAAAAAAGAAAGATAAATCTTTATAATCAGGAACTAAACTCCCTCAGAAATGAGGTTCTCAAGTATGCAGACACTCAGCCTGTCCTCTTGGAGGTGAAGAAAGGCCCCTAAGGCAGAGAGATAACAAACCCATTGTTGTTGACTGCTAAGAATTACCTGCACCAGGGGAATAGGCTGGAAGCCACAGCCAGCTGTTCTCGCTCTGTGACTTGAACTGCCCCTCTCAGCAAAAGTGCTCAGAGTTCAAATCTTAGTCAAAACACACATTTCTGGCTTCTCCTTCTCACTCATGTCTTGCAGTTTAACCAGACTAAAGCCAAGCCCAGGGTCCTGTAGACAATTCATATTTGTCAAACAAATTAAAGAATGGCAAACATAATCGCACACTGTATGTACGCATCCTGCCTCCCTCCTTTGTGAAATTCTCAGGAACATGACCACGACAAGCTACCAACCTAGAGCTGTGACTTTCCACCCAGGCTGCACACTAAAGTCACTCAGAGGATTCTCTCAAAACCAACTCCTGGGGCCCTGCTGTGATTTGAAGGTGAAATGTCCCCACATCCTCCTGAGTTTGAACACTGGGTCCCCAGCTGGTGGTGCAGTTTGCAAGGTTGTGGGACCTTTCCGAGATAGAGCAACTGCTGGAGGAAGTGTAGGGGTGGGCCTTCAGTTTTTATAGCCTGGCCTCACTTCCTGTTCACTGCTTCCTGACTGCAGATGCCATGTGACCAGCCGGCCTTCCGCTCCTACAGACAGGTCTTCCCCACCATGACAGTATGATCCCTTGAGCTGTTAGCTGGAACAAATCTTTCCTTCCTTAGGTAGCTTTTGTCCAGTGTTTTATCCCAGCAACCAGACAAATACTCCCCCAACCTACCCCAGAAAATCTGACCACTTTCAACTGGAAAGGGCCCAGGCCATGATGCTGGGGGAAGAGTCAAAGGCGCACAGAGGTCAAGGGTTTCTATCATTCCTCCATGGCCAGAGAGATTGCTGGTGGCAGTCAGGAGAGGAATCCACAGCATGACTGAGTCCCTCTGTCTTCTATGAGCTTTGTTTCAAGAGACTCTTCCCTCTCTCTCTCACATTTCTCAGACATCCACCTTTCTCATTCACTCAACCAGCAATTAGGTGCTTACTGCCTGCCAGGTGCCAGGTAATGGCAAAGCAGGTAGGTGCTGGTGACCTTGGTCTTCACAGAAGAGACTGGGGGCCCTGTCTTAATTCAGATCGTCCCATCTCCACTAGCGTGTGAGTTCCTGGGGGCTTAAAACCATGAGTCACTCATCTCTGGTGCTCCCACAGGGCCAAGTGCTAAATGTTTGATGAACAAGTAACTACAAGGGCTGCCTGGAGCTCTTTCACAAGGGATACAGAAAGCAGAAATGTCTACAAGACCCCTTGTTTTAGTCAGGAGATTCTCAGTTTAAGTTTTTTTCCATCATGGGCCTGGAGAGTTGGCTCAGAGGTTAAGATCACTGGCTGCTCTTTGCAGAGGACCCAGGTTTGACTCCCAGCACCCACATAGCAGCTAACAACCATCTGTAACTCCAGTTCCAGAGGAATCCAACACCCTCTTCTGCCTCTGTGGGCATTGCATGACATGGATGCACTTACACACATGCAGGCAATACATGTACATAAAATAAAAATAATAAAATATTTTTTAAAAAAATTTTCCCATTGTCTTATTTTATCTACAGGGCTTCAGCTCAAACTCAGGGCTTCAAGAATGCCAGGCAAAGCTGCACTGTTGAGCTCCACCACCAGGCCCTCTCTTTTCCTTATACAAATTTTGACTGGTTCAAACTAGAAAAATCATTGACTCTCTGACCTGCAGGGATTTTATCTTCTGTGAGTGTATGTGCTGCTCCTGCATCTCTCTGACCACAATATCTGACAGAAACAACTTAGCTGAGGAAAGATTATTGGGGCTCACATTTCAAAGGGTTTCAGTCCATCAGGGAGGGGACACCAGGGCAGAGCAGCTCAGTTCCAGGCAGAGGGAAGGGAGCTGTTCCCAACGCAGAAGACCAGGCAGAGTAGAGCAGGACACAGGGGCCATGTAACCTTCAAAGACCTGACCCTAGGGACCTGCGTCTCCCCACTAGCCCTCACAAAAAGCATGTACAGAGAACAAGCATAACACACGAGCCTGGGGGAGGATTTCAGGTCTAAAATCTAATGTTGGGGTTTTAAAATCACCTTGAAGATACTGTTTACTTGGGGGACCTGGGAGATGACTCAGTTGATAAAACTGATGCCTGCACAAGCATGAATTTAGATCCCCAGCACCCACATTTTAAAAAAGCCATGTGTGGTAGCACATGCCTATAATCCCAGGCCTGGGGAGGCAGAGACAGGAGGATCTGCCAGCTTGCTGGCCAGCCAGTATAGCCAAATCATTGAGCTCCAGGTTCAACAAGACCCTGTCTTAAAAAATAACATGGAAGGGCCTGGAGAGAATGCTCAAAGGTTAAGAGCACAGGCTGCTCTTGCAGAGGACCCAGGTTCAGTTCCTAGCACCCATGTGGTGGCTAACTACCATCTGTTAACTCCAGTTCCAAGGGCTCCAAAGCCCTCTTCTGACCTCCTGGGGCATTGCCATAGGTACACTTACATATGTGTGGGCAATACACTCACACATAAAATAAAAATGATAAATAAAAATATAAGGTGCAGAGTGGCTGTAGAAGATCCTGACTTTTACTTCTGGTCTCCCATACACATCCATGCACACCTGACAGTGCCCGCCCCCCCCCCCCCCCCCCAGCCTTCCTGGAGGCCAGTTGCTCTTGCTCTGAGCCCCCAGAGTATCCTGGGACTTGCTTGTCCCAAAAACAGACACACTGTTTTGGTGTCTCCCCACCCCACCCCCTTGCTAGGGTTCCTGAAGATCCTGTGGCCTCTGAGTTCTGGGGTTGCCAGAACAGGGGCCACCTCTGGGGCCTTTCCAAATCTATGCAGCAGGCACTGGGCCTCATTCCACCACTGTCCTGTGCTTGAAGCGAGCTCAGGCCCTCTCCGGGTGGAAGATGGATGGGATGACTTTGCAGCTGCTCCACCCGGAGCCGCCTGGGTCTCTGTCTACCCCAGGCTGTCACTTCGCCTTCCCTGAAGCCCGCAGACGTTCCCTCTGGGTCCTTGGGCACAGCTAGCACAGCCCTGAGAATCTTGAATGGACATAGTAGGTGTGACCGTCGGGAAATTGCTCATTATTTGTCCTTCGTTCTGCGGCATATCTCCCCCCCACACACACACACCTCCTCCCTTTTTCCCTCTCTCCCAGGAACTGGTTCAACCAGAGTACAACCGTCGGCCTCCGGCGCTGCAGAAGCGGAGGCCTGGAGGCGGCGGGGCCGTGGACGAGCTCTCCCAGGCCGGGCGGGGTGCAGCCCAGGGCGGCTCATGAAGACGCAGCGCGGCGGGAGGAGCGGCGGGAGGAGCCGGACCCGGGGCTTCACGCTCGCTCTACTGGCGCTCTCGGTGGCCGCCGCCCGCGGTCTGCAGAGTGAGTGCGGGGACATCCCCAGGGGAGGGATGACATCGCCTGTAGGGGGACCTCGCGGGGAAGGGGTGGCATGCAGGTGGGGGCAGGGGTGGCATGCAGGTGGGGGCAGGGGTGGCATG